GGAAGGCTGACGTTTCGGGCCTAGACCGTTCTTCGTCCAGATTTTAGAAAAAGAATTACAGTGGTCAGTCAGGAATAAACTCTATTTAAATGATGCTGAGGTGCGTTGGAGTCAGAATGTGAAAGGATGCAGAAAGATGCCAAAGTCAAAAGGAATTCCAATGAATATTGGTAATCCATTTCTTAAGCATAGATATTTTATACAGTTTCTTCCACCTGAGAAACTGTCAAAATATCAATATTAGGGGTCTGGTGTTTGAATTTGGGATTATGACTAGTTTAACATGCTGAATGCTTTGATTTGCAGTCAGAAAACTGTAATTTCAGGAATGCGATGATTCCTGATATAAACAGCAGATTCTTTTTATCATTATGAGCATTGTTGATTCGGTGTAAAGTGTTCCAGAAAGAGAATTATATGTTTTTGCAACACATGGCAGAATTACATTTTATTTTCCCTTTCCTGTCAACCTTCATGAAGTCTGTATGGGAACACATATTACTTCCTTCAGGCATCTTACAGATCATAAGGCAAGATGTTTATCACTGAGCATTTCAACAGGGTGAAGCCTTTTACTCCTTTTCCGTGATTTGGCAACTGTACTTGTGACGTGATGCTATAAACTTAAAATTTGAGGTGTAAGTAACTATATTTGTTGTTTTCAGAGATTTCTGTTTATTTCAATGTTCTTGCACTAGCTATTATATTTTTTAAGTTATTTCCTATGAGAGAAAAGTAAATATCATATATATCTCCTGACCCAGCCACAGTTCCATTTGAATTCTGATCATAGTCCTTGGACATGACAAATTGAATCCACACATTCTGAGATTGAGTGAGGCTTCTGAGCTGACAAAACTTTATTTATCATTAACAATCAAGTGATAAGTAAACAATGAAAATGTGATGTTTGAGGTTGACAGTTACAAAAATTCTAAATTGTGATTGGAGCCAGTGCCAGCCACATGGTTGCTATTTTCAGGAAATATACAATGATTTACACAGTGATAGGGGAGGTGGTGGTATAGTTGTAATGGCGACTGGACTAGTAATGCAGAACCCCAGGCAAATTTTGTGAGAACACCGTTTTGAATCCCATCACACCAGCTAGTGGAATTTGAACTCAAGAGAAATATCAAATTTTAAAAAACTTAATGGCATCCATGGTAACCAATTGATGTAAAAACCACTCTGATTCACTAATGCCCTTTAAGAAAGGAAATCTATCATGTTTATTGAAATATGACCCTGACACACAACAATATGGTTGACTCTTAATTGCTCTCTGGGTAAGTAAGGATGAGCAATAAATACTGGCTTTGCCAGTGACACAACACCCATGCAAGAATAAAGGAAAAAAATATATAAACTACCTTAGATAAACAGTTGATAAATCATTTGCAGTTTTAGTCTGGCAAGAAAGTTATTTGGAAGTGTGCCTCCTCTGGCAAGGAGCAACACAGCAACTCTGAACAGTTTTCCAAACTTTAGCCCTTAACAAAAGTTTGCATCTAACCCGAGGGTATCATAATCAATTTGATATTTTGTAGTCTCCTCCATACCGTATGATTCTATTCCCCCTATCATGCCTCTCCTCCCTCTACAGAAGAGCTATCTAATTAGTTATATTCCAAAGAAGAGTCACTCTGGACCCGAAATGTTAACTCTGTTTCTCTGTCCACCGATGCTGCTAGATTTGCTAGGTTTCTCCATAATTCTATGTGCTTGTTTCACATTTCTGGGATCTGCAGTATTTTACTTTGTCATATTTGCTCATGTTCCTGCATTTGGTCTGCATCACATAGTTATGCTGTTCCGACGACTGCATCTCCTTCCACCTGCTTTTCAGTCAGTACATCATAACATATATTTTTAAAATATCGTCTTATCACTGGTCCCTTTGTCACTTCCCCTAAGTTTGTGCCCTCTGGTTACCCCACCTTCTTGCTGGTAGAATTTTTCCACTTTTCTCTATTAAGACCTCTCACAGTTTTGAAAATGTGCCTTCACCTTTGTAGCTGCCAAGAGATCATTCCTAGCTTCTCTTGTTTTGTTAATAATGTCTTCAGCTCAAACAGTTCCTGGAATGTGCATTCTAGGAATGACGCAGCCTCCTGAGTGTGGCCGAGTGTAAAATTCAGAATCCCTTATATTCTAGCACAAGAAGTCAGGGGCACTTACCTCACATGTGGTTATTCCTTACATACAAAGTGTCCAAGATCTTCCATGCATGTGAGCACCAACAGTTCACTTTAAAGTTTGCATGAAATTAAGAACTGCAAAAATTAGTGATTTTAATACTTCTAGTATAATGGTGAACTGAATTTCCATTCAAATACCACATTCTCTTACTGTCCAGTGATTGATTCTTCCTCTTCATTGTCTTTTAACATGTAACATATGACTTTATTGTGGCACATCTTTACCGAGCTGTTACTCTGCAGTTCCAGCTTTTATTGATAAAATGTAATGCTTAAACTTAGACCCTAATCAGCAGACCAACATTTCCAACTAAAATGATACCAAAAAAAATTAAACGTGGCTATATTTTACAACAAATATTGATATCTCAACATAAAATGTATGCTTGTGTTTCATTTAAACAACTTCTGAAATAGTGATTTGAAAGTTGACCCTTCAGAATCTCTAAGCATGAGTTAGTGTTTATATGTGGACAATGATTTTCAGCCTTTGCTCCTCACTGAGTAAATTAAAATTTTCTTCCTGTTTTCTTCAGCATCGTAAGACCTACACGACACTACACAGTCTTCCTTTCTGAGGATTCCTCTGATGATGAACTTCACCATGAAGAGGACTCTGTATCTGCCTTCTCTGAAAGCTTTCTCTTCACTTCTTTTGAATGGTCTATTGACTGTTTCACTTATATTCTTTTGCTTGAGAAATTTATGCATGACTTCTTTGAGTAAATGTACAGTATACAGTTTCTATGGTCTACATCTATACATGATTTCTAAATTTGAGCAAAAGGAGCAGACCACATATATTGAATGTCTAACTTAAGCTATTACATTTCCTTTTCTCAGTGAGTTTCTGTTGCGATTCAGTACATTTACATCCAGAACACTCTAGTGGCTATTCTTATTGATGGCACGGTAACAGATTTGTACACGCCGGTTATTTTGGTTATTCTTGTAACTGAGGCAAACAATGCAATGATACTGATTTAATACTTGCAAGCCAAGAACTTGCCAATGTTTATTTCATGACAGTTGAGAAATGGATGTGTTTGTCTATAACAGTCACCATTTACTCAATAGATGACACATTGCAACATTATAGTTCACTCTCAGCCTATTAAAAATGAATCATGAATTATCAAAATATACTAAGAGCATATTTTACGGCTATACTGCAATGTATGTTTTGTTAGTTTGAGAGTCTAAATTTGAATTTCCCTTCTCATTTCTTCTTGCTGTCTAAAATAATCTGAAATAATATTTCAAATGCCCCCATTTTGCCAGTCTCAAATCAGCCACCAGGCATGCAGCATGGTGGCCTAAAGTTATAATCGACATTAAAATCTTTATTTGTACTTTTGTTCTGGCATTGACATAAAGGACTGGCTTTGATGTCTATTAAAAGCAGACAAGTAATTTGTATATTTCATAGTACTGTGCTAGAATAATTGAATTGACCTGTATTGTTTAAAAACCTAAACTATGAATTCTGGTGAAAGCATTGCCACCTGATAGCCTGTTTGGTTTCGATTTCTATCTTATTGGTAACTATAAATCAATAATGAACCTAGTTAAATATTGGAAAACAGACCAAAAGGTCACAGAAATCATCTAAATATCTCTAAGCTGATAACACTGGTTTTGATTACTTTGTTTTATTTCTATTCCTATACCTTCTAAACAATTGCTGTAACTTATCAAGCATTGCATTTCTGTAAATAATAATTTTAGCACATTACTAAATAGTGGGGCGTTACAGAAAATAAGGACTTTATTCTGTAAGACAATTTACTTGTCAGATCTTCCTTTTGAAGGTAATAAGCTTCACACAACACTGTTCCTGTTTGAGTATTCTCTGCAGGATATAAATATGTAATTTGTTTTAAATTGCTTTTGATTTACCTTTCAAGATGAGTTGTAGCCATAAATACAGGGAGTGTTAAATGATCAGAAGGTCCTTTGAGCGGTCTTTCATTTCTCTACCAAAATATGGCAATCCTTTGAGCCAGACAGAGAAATTAATTCAATACTTCCTGAATCTGAGATACAAGGTATTGCAGCAATAATTCATGAGGACAAGTGATATGATTGATGCTCAGTCAATGCGGGAGAATGCCATAGTTTGTCTCACCAATGTATGATCAAAATTTTCAAAATAATCGATGTTGCTGCAGTGGCCAGTCTGCTAATTATAATATTATCCTTGATTGGAGACCAGAGTCCATAACTACAAGAAAGAACTGGATCCAGGTCACAAACCCTCCAAAGGTAAACTAAATGACCAAAATAACCCGTGCTGCAAAACAAACCATTAAAAACACTAAGAATTACTTCTTTAAGGAGATCTGTAAACAGAAGAAAAATTTTAGAACACACTTTCAATCAGTGCAACTTCAAAGTCAAGATACCTACAAGTTACATATTCTTTGTAGCAAGTCAAGCAATTAGTATGAAAGACTGGATTCCACTGGAAATCAGTCCTGGATTAAAGTTACGCAAGAGCACAAGAGATTGAAGCAGGACGAGGACATCTGGCGGACAGTCTTGTCTGCCATTTAACACAGCCAGGGCTGACATTGAGCTGGATGAACCTACATACACCTTTCATTCCAGCACAATGCATAACATCGAGAACTATTGTATGCTGGCATGAAACTTGGAATCTTGGCAGCTGAGACAACAAAATAGTGTTGACTTCACATTTCACGTTCTTTAGTCATGGAAAATATTAAATTGTTAAACTGTGTGCTTCATTCTTTTAGACGTAGTTGTAACTTTGTCTTTTTTGTCTCCAATTACCAGGCCCCAACCATATAAAACTTTAAAGGAATCTGATATAGCTGATGGAGAGGCCTTGGCTACAGAGAAAAGGACCGGGTCAACTATCTTTCCTAACCTCTCCGTACCAGGCAGGAATATAGATGTGAATTTATTGGATGACATTTTCAGCAGTATAAAGATAACCTCACAACACCAGCCCCTCAGCCAAGCCAAAAGTATGGAAGATCTGAGGACACCTAAAGAGGAAGAAGTAGAAAGTCCATTTGGGCATCAGGTTTGTGGCAATGATTTTCTTACTATTTATATATTTTGTGACCATCCCATCATAACTACCTTCGTTATGATATGGAGATGTTGAAGTACATTCTTGCAGTGAGGAAAGAACAATTACTGGTAAAATTTTAAAAAAGGATAAAGCCAAGGCCCATTTGTGCGGTAAGACCGAAATGGGGGAAAAAGAATCTTTGCAGAGAAGTCCAGCAATTATGTCCTTGAGCTTCAAAAGTCTATCAAATTTTAGAAGAAAATAAAGATTGAGTGATTGAAAATGTTCTGACTAAGAATGGCTGTTCCACCAGTGGATGCCCAAGGTAGTGGGTTGGAGACTCACTGTGGAAGCAGCATGGCAAGTAAGCCAGTGCAGGTATGTTTTGAATCATAGTATCCTTACAGTGTGGGAGCAGGCCGTTCAGCCCATTGAATCCACACCAACCCTCCGAAGACTATCGCATCCAGACCCACCCCTCACCCCTGTCCCTGTAATCCTGCGTTTCCCATGGCTATTCTACATAGCCTCCACGTCCCTGGACACTACTAAACAAATTCAGCATGGCCAATCCCCCTAACGTGCACATCTTTGGATTGTGGGAGGAAACTGGAGCACTGGTAGGAAACCCATCCAGGCATGGGGAGAATGAACGAACTCCACACAGATTGTTGCCCGAGGGTGGAATCGAACCTGGGTCTCTGGCACTGTGAGGCAGTGACTCTAACCAATGAGCCACCTTATTGCTTTGGCCTGAGTTGCAGGGGGGGAAGGAGGTCCCTCAGCTGAGGAACCTGACATTGTGAAGTGGGACACACTAAGAGTCTTTGCCCTGCCCTTGCTACTGACCCCATTTCTTCCACTACATCACCGAATGACTGTAAGGATGAGAGCTTGCCCCGGTACTCTAAGCACCTTGTGAATGAACTGTTTTGTTCAAAATGAAAGATCATTATTAGATCCAGTGAGAAGTCCTAATCACATGAATTATTGTAGGGTATCTACTTGTACGATGTTTAAACAGTCCATTTTGCAGTTAGAAACAGTTGACCAGCTGCATCGTCTTTAATTAGAATTTTTCACCTTATTGCCTGATCTCTTTCCTTAATCACATTGCTACATGAAAGCCTGACTCTTGCCCCCTCCCCTTGATCTCATATCATGACTTCTCGATTGAATCCTCCTCCTTGTCTGTTCACCCCCTCCCCATCCATTCCCCAAACCC